TGTAGTATTGCTGCCATATCAGATTTGAACCTATCCCCTACTCACTTTCTAAACTTAGCAGAGTTCAAAAACATCTAGACTACTTTGTGGGTAGTGAAATATTTTCCAATCTACAAAAACTTCCCTCTCAGACCGAACGTCACAAACCAATCGTTTCTCTATCGCTTTTTCCATGATAAAATTTTCAGTTTCACCAGTTCATATCTTTACAGTTAATTGCCAACATGTTATGCTTACAAGGGCGATAATTCTCATTGACTTCGTATTCCACTGGTAAGAAGAAAATTCACTTTTTTTTTTTTAAAGAACCACTATTTTATAGAAGAGACTATTCTGGACATTGTGCTAGTTATGGTGGGCCAGAGATTTTAGAGTATTTTGGGGTTGATTACTTTCCGTTTTGACTCCGCCCCATATGTAATCGTATAACGGATTCAAGTTTCGAGAGCAGAGAAGCCGAGTATTTGGGGTGGAGATTGCAGTTCATCCATTCTTGGTTCTTCTTGTCCTTATAAGACGGTGTAGAATTTCATTGGTAGGCACACGTTCTCCTGTTCCCGGTGCGTCACATCTCGCTTTCCAACACTCACCTATAGTCGGCAGCATAGACCATTAATCCCTGAAGAATGAAGTGAAGATGTATGTTATCTCCTTCTTTGCTTATGCCTCTCAGAATATCCCTACTTGCCGAAGACCTTGTGGGCATGACCACTGGAACATCTTTAGGGTCTGGAGGAGAAACTGTTTTTCTTTCTATTTGGCATTTTGAATGTTTAGAGTTTTTCGCATCAGAGAAAAAACAAATCCCATTTTTCAGTTGCCCTTGATGTTTTGACTTTGATCCACAGGCAATTTACCAATATCAGACGCTCTTAGATTTTTGTAAAAGAATGTACACACGGAGGGAATCTGTTGGACAAAATATCAGTTATTGGGGAAAAGGTGTCTGAGTGGAACTTTCTGTGTACATTGGGAAATGAGGATGATTCGGTTCCGTCAAGGTAGCATGATGTGTCCGAGCTGCAAAGCACTGAGCTGGTGGAAATAGAGAATGGATTTTATTTGAATATTTTTTTACGTGGAAATAGCGGCAAAGTCGAGAGAAGTGTTAGACGGTGCGTCAGTGGAGAAGACGGGCAGCAACGTGAGGAATTAGTATCCTCCCACAAAACAGCCTAAACAATTTTAAACTCTATCAAGCCTGGAAATTGAGGATTGACCTTCCCCAGTCCAGTTATCACTGTAATACGTCATTTTTCATTTAATCCATCCGACTCTTGTATAGATAAAGAATGGTAGAAGGAGTCAGATGTAAATTAACACAGACACACACACACACACACACACACACACATATATATATATATATATATATATATATATATATATATATAGAGAGAGAGAGAGAGAGGGGGGAGAGAGAAACTGAAAGAGAAAGAGGGAATGAAGAAAGAGAGAGAGAGTGGATGAATGCATCTCAGCGTATGCATGTGTATGTGTAAGTATGTGTATTTGTGCTGTAGTATCTTTATGCGTATATTTTTTCTATGTGTGCGTGTGTCTAGTAGTTTGTATGTGTTTCTGCGTATGTATATGTTCGTATGGGGATATTGAATCGATGTGTAAATTTTCATCCAGTTCTTGTCAGCCTTTCAAATCGTTTGCCATGTTTCAGTGTCACTTGCCATTGCAAAGGTTATGCTGGCATTGGAGAACATTAATCTTGATAAAAACTGAAGTAGTAACCCTCTCAGCTCTCCATGCCATTTGTAGTAACCATTTGACTTATAAGGCATTAGTACCATAACTTTGCACACTTAATCCCCCACTCCCCCCCTCTCGATCGCACATCAATAAGAAACTAAACTTTGCTATACTTTCGGTTAAATATGCAGCAATCTACCGTGTTGTTCCGCATACCGAAGTCATCACATTTTTTTTTTAATTGCGTTGAACAAACTTTAAGCAATCGAAGTGAAATCAATATTTTAGACAATTGAAAAATGCCACGTTCCTTCGGGACGTAGGTGATCATATTTCGTTTATCTACTTCATTATTTATGGATTAGAATGCGTTATTGGGAAAGATAGTGGAGTGGTTGCCTGTTTTTTTTTTTCACCGTTTAAAATCCACGGTTTTTCCTTCTTTTAGACTGAATGCCACACAAGGATAAGAAGCCGTGTCTCCCCTACTACATAACTGAGAGCTGAGAGAACCACTGAATTCATCCCTTCTTTCCCAAGGGCAACTGTGCGTGAAAGTTAACGCAACAAGCAAAGCTGGAATTTGAACTTGGTTTACCGATTCCACTGACTCGACATCTGTAGTCAAAATAGCATGATTAATATTCATGAATAATCCATCATCTTTGTTTTTTTTTTGGATCACAACGTTTCAGAAATTGCTAGTTGAGGTTTCTATGATATATGGTTAGCTCCAAGAAGCTTTTCATGTAATATTTTATTTTATTACCAATTTGTTTAATTTAATAAAGTAATCAGGTGAGTTTACACACTTAAATAACATAGTTTTATATCGCATACTTAAAATGGTCTTTAACTAACACTAAAAGTGGCGGTATGTGTATTTCATTCTTAGTCTACCTTTAGAGATTCAACTAACTATACAGAAATCTGTTAATTGAATTTCAACAACTTTCCTTGTATAAAAATAGCCTGGCTTTCGGATTTGAAACATAGCTTTTTAATACTATTTTTCACAGTATAAGGGCCCAAGAGCCACTCAAGATTGAGCATTAATGAATGTGGGGTGTGGTGTGGACGTAAGAGGAGGAAATAAGTGGAGATTATGAAAATATATTGGATAGATAATGGTTAACAGTTGATTTGAAGAAGTTAAGTTTGTAGTGACTGAGTAAGCATCCTCTCGGGAATCTGTTTTACAAAAAAGCATTTCTAGGGAAAAGCTGTTTGAGTGGGACTTCATCCTTACTAATGGAATACGAAGAGAATTAGATTGGTTCGACCGTGTTTGCGCGGGACTTAGCTGTAAAGGTCTCAAATGGTGGAACAATGGAATGTAGCTCGTTTGAACATTTGTCAGTGAAAGAGCGACAGAGTAGCTAGAGGCTTGCAACGTTTTGTCTGTGGGAAAGGGGTTGTGGTGTGCAAAATGATTCATCACCAACAAGGCCGTGTAAACGCTTTTGCAATTTGTTAAAACTGTAAAAGATATGGCAGCATTGTGAAATTACTTCCATGGCTGAGTTAGTTGCAACCTTAACATCACCACCAGCTTTGGGTAAACAACGTTATTTTCAGCCAAAAATTTCACTATTCTAGAATTCGGTGATAAATTAGACTTGATAATAGTTGTAACGATTGACTTTGCGCCTAATAAGGAAAATGACAACGGGATTCAGTACTACAACCACTGTATTTACACGTTACTACAAGTGAGGACTTTGCTCGTATAACTGGAGCTTGAGGTAATGTTATTGGCAGAATAGGGAAATCCTTATACTTTGCTTGTAAATGTGGTATTTATATGCACGCCCAAGTCGCAAACGCGATGGTCAACTTTTAATGTGTTTTTTTATTTTTATAAAATATATCTTAAGCCCCCTCAGCACTTTCCCTTTTGGGGTGCCTCAGGCGCCCGGAAGGAAAATCCCTTCTGAAGGATAGATACTGCCTGAGAAATGATATCCCGCGTGCTTGGGCTATAATTATTGGTAGAATAGCGAATTTCTTTGCTGACCAGCCACCAATTTTGCTTTCCTTTAAGTAACTCATGGCCAACAATAATATCCGATTTGACTGTGTAATGTTCCACGAAAAACATGTTATGTTTGATGGAAAAGAAAAATCTTTATTTAAAATAGTGATGTAGGTTTTACTCATTTATGGACAATATTGTATAGACAGTGCGATGGACAAACTGTCGTCTAAATTACGCAAAAATTAAAATAACACTGACATCTCATTGTAACAAATATATTTCCAATATTACACAAAAATATCTTGAAATACTAAAGAGTAAATTTATTTAGTAAAATTACCAATGGCTTCAGCTACGGTCACTCCTGCATCTCTTCTGGACGGTCTCCTTGTTTCAGTTGGTTAATTCTACCATAATCTTTGTCTTCAGTTCTTCATTTATGTTCCAAAGAGTTTTGTTGGTTTCCCGCTCGTTTGCACCCCACACATAATAATCAAGGGGGTTGCAGTCTGAGTGGCCAGATATAAGGGGTGATGTGGTCGCAGAAACTGCTTGAAAGCAATGACTGGGTTTTTTCAGCTTGTGTGGTATAGTGCAGGGTCCTGTTGCCAGACATAGGGTCTTCCAGTAGTTACCTTCTTCACCCAAGACAGCCCTCCCGCCTCAAGGTACTTGGTGTAGGACACCGTGTTGATTCTGAGGCCCTGTTGTAAGATGAATGGAGGCATAACATTGTCATTGCTAGTGATCACTCCAGACACCTTCGTAATCACTATTAGACTCATCTAACTCTTTCCGAATCCGCTGCACTCAGATTGACATCCAAACACTCTGAAATGTTCGTATTGGAACTTCTGGTGCGAAGCAGGACGGCATGCCGTTTCGAAATTTCTGGCGGAATGGATTTCGTCATGGCGATCTTTTTCTCGAGGACATTTCCCAGCTGACCTTACTATACTGTGAAGTCGACAAAATCAAAACAAACGCGCATGCGCGAAATTAAAAAAAGAAAATATAAAATGGCGACAATTAACCCGTCGCACTCTGTATGTACGTATTTGACGTAAAAGTTCCTAATCTCATATTTTGCATAATATTAAAGAAATCACAGAAGTGTCTTTATTGGTTATACAATCTATTAACTATAGTCCATCTTTTATACTTAGGAGATATTTTGAAATTTACTAAATTTTCCATTTACAGAAAGGAAAATTGATAAACATTTGAAACGTTTTTCTTTTTGATAATATTTGACAGACATTTCTTGGATTGAAAAGCGTTTTTTAGTTATCCATTACACCACTCGCACATCCAAGCTTACTGCAGCTGATATTCCCAAGCGGTCACCCATCTAGGTACTGACCATGCTCGACGTTGCTTAGCTTCAGTAATCATACGAGGATTAGTGTTTCAATGTGATATGGCCATAAGCTGGAAAAATATGGGAAGCGTCGAAAAAGATTGGAACAGACAACTCAAGGATTTGATGGCCTCCCGTATGATGTCTACTTGAGTCAACCAGACATGTTTAATCCCTTTGCGGGCGCCGGTCTGCAATAACGATCTTTTAAATGATTTCACCTGACGCCATAAAGTTATATATTCCTTCCTTTTAAGGCTGAGCGCCTTGTCTGACATGTCCTTACTAACACTTGATATAACGCCTTTTTTTCGGCAACGGTTATTTGTCAGAGGCTCTCACAGTATGTCGATATTCACAATAGATGAAACATTCGTATCAGAGCATAAGTGAGCCTCCCTACCATCTGAATGTGCACTTCTCAAAACTGAATAGAATATATCGGTATATTCTCTTCAGAAACTGCTGTTAATGTCATGTTGTTTACAGATCTAGCCGAGGAAATATAAATGCATTTTATACTCGTCGACATATCAAATAAAACACCATAGGAAGCCTGTAACCCGAAATTAGACTAAAAGGGGTTCACTCAAGCTAAGCTAATATGGTACACGAAGTGCTGAGTCGGTTACGGATGATTCCTATGAGACCACAGATTAACAGCTGCCTTGAATTTCTGCAATATCTCCGACTAATTTCCCAGTTGGTGTTTGAAACCGAACCAGACGCCAAGTATATTGCACATCCTGTCCGTTCAACAAAAGGGATTGGAAAACCTCTCCACCACGCCCAAGCCAACAGACGTATGCCAGTTAATTTCAGTTTCATACGACCAGATAATTCCGCATAGTACTCGGCTTGCCCTCAACTTGCGCAGGAAACATAGAGTATGGGCGAAGTTGAATAAACGTCATGAATAAGTCTGGACAACATGGAAGGATTTGTTCTGGGGACCGTGCCACGGGCGACATTAGATGTAAAAGAAAAACTATTTCGTTGGGTAAACATGACAACTGATCATTCAAAGAAAGCCTTTGTTATAGATTGATTAAAACTAAAAATATATTTCTGTAAAAAGAGACACATATGGTAATTGGCTTTTTTGAATGATTTTTTGGAAGTGAAAAACATTTCTCTGAACAAAGATGTCAACCAATCATTAAAAAGAAATATTTCATCATGAAATATTGGCAATAAGCAAAATGATAATGCACGTTGCTAAAGTAGGCAATTCACTCTATGTGTGATGGCTTGAAAGTGAGAAGACTTTAATCTTGAATGGATGTCAAATTGTAATTAAAAAGGAATATTTTATAACGAAATGATGGGTACTGGTAAATACATTAATGCACAATGCTACAGTAGGCATTTAGTCATTTACACTAATCCTTGGAAAATGAAAAGACTTTACTCTGGTCAATGGAGGATTCACCTGATGTTTCAAAACGTCATTTATTATTATAAATTGACAACTGAATAAGTTTTTAATTCCGCTATTACAGAATACAATCTGCTGTTTTGGAAGTAAAAAAATTATACTCTGGGCAATGAATTCAAAGGAAATATTTTAAACTGTTAAAATCTGGACAAAATGTTATTGCGAATTGTTGTATTGAACGTTTGACTTTTTTGAAAAAGGTTTTACTACTGAAAAGACATTATTTGAGGCAAGGATACCAAAATGGTAACCAGGAGATAATAGGTGGTTGGCACTTTTTATTATGACACCGAGTATGAGTTATATCTTATCAACTATGAGTTATATCTTATTGACAATGAGTTATATCTTATCAACTATGAGTTATATCTTATCAACTATGAGTTATATCTTATTGACAATGAGTTATTTTGTGCTTTGAATTTGCTGATACATTTTCATCTCCTGATATCAACAACGAATTTATTTGCACTGATACTTTATGTGCAAAAACAATTTTAAGATTTCAGTTGAAGATATATTTTTTTGCTTAAGAAGGCTATTGTAAAGTTGGCGTTTGAAGTTAGATTTTGTAAATGACTTCTGACAGCCATGTGTTAAATGTCTTAAAAATAAATTCAGTTGATATTTTAAAGGGAGTTTATTCTTATAAACAAATGACAAATAAAGAATTTTTAATCAACAATCCTAATGTGATCAATTGGCACTTTTGAATAGCGAATAGAAGGAATTTATTTTAATCAATGATATCAGTTGTTTGTTCGATGAGGAAATTGTAAATTTACAGAAGATGAATAGAAGTTTGCTGCACTTATATGCAATTGGCCCATTCAAATGGTATTTCAAATGTAAAATGTCTTCAATCTGTGCAAGGATGAAATGCTTCATTCTAAATTTAAACTGTTACTGAAACAAGATGCAATAAGCAATTGCTAATTTTGAACAATAATCTGGAAATGAAATGATTTTACTTAGAACTAAATATGAATCCTATGTCTTATATGTATAGCTGAAGTATTCATAATCTGATGTTTCCCCAGATGTTGTAGATTACCAATACTTGGTGCCATACCATAATACTGTAATATTAAATATAAAAGAAGGATATCTTATAACCAATCAAATATAATATCTTTTAATAGTATTGTATTGACATAACAAAATATGATAAAAATTTCTTGTTTACTTTATGTTCCACTCCAGGAGACTTTTTTTAAATCATTTCCCCCCAAGCAAGGCTATAATGCCACTACAAGACATGGAGTTACAGGAAGTGAAAGAGAATAAGAAGACTGAGAATGGGAAGTGTTGGGGAAATGACAAAAAGGAACAGAGTACAAGAAAACAGAAGATGGTGATTGATGTTGCATTTAAATCTTTGAAGGTTGTAGTTATCAGGGAAGCAAGAAATCAGAAGGAAGTTCCACATGTGGGAAGTGTGAGAAAAGAAACTGTTAGAGAAGAAGTGGTGGGTGGTTGTATCTAGCTATTTTCAACAGTAAAATGGTGGGACCTAGTTGCAAATCTAGTAACACACTTAAATTCATGTTGATAGGGCACCAGGAAAAAAGCTCATCAGAGCAGAGCAGAGCAGTTGCCATGAAAATATTTGTAGAAAAAGTGGAGGGAAGCCACGTCAAGTTAGTGAGAAAGGGACTGAAGTTGAGAAGGCTGGTCGATATCAATCCCATTACAAACTTTTCTTTGGATTTTGTCAAGAATCTTGAGATTTCTGCCGATACAAAGCATCAGCACCATTTGTCCCCTCATATTCTGGAAGCTGATTTTGTTGAATTCATGAAATTTGCTACCATTTATGTTAAATTCATTTTTGATGAAATTATGGGCAAACTGTTGTGATTTCTATGAGTAGCCGATTGCTTCTAGCAATGGCAAATATATCTCTCAGATTTTACAAGCAATACTTTCTTACTCATACTGAAAGGCCTAAAGGTTATTATCATTATGTCAATAACGTTTTCCATATGTTTGACAGTGAGGTGAAATCTGAATGTTCATTTTATAAATCATTTAAAGAATTATATTAAGCTTAATGACCTTTCCAGGAAAAGAAGAGCTATACTGTCTCCGGGATGCGTGTATTTCGTTGAAATGTACACAACTCTTAGACAGTTAGCTTAAACTCTCATCGACAATCAAGACTCTGAGACATAGTATGTTTTAGGCACAGGTTTATTGACAGTCGACAAAGGTAAAACTGAAAGAAAATAAAAACACGTTTCTTCAGAAATACAGAAATACAAAATGAAGGTGAGTATTTACTGAGACCTTAAAAGTAGTTGTAGGTACGATAAGCTTACAGAATAGAAGCGTTTGAACATAAAAAATACTCATAGAAAGAAAAAGAATACAAAATATGCTGAGTAACAGTCAAGTTCCGAGAGGAAAGGTGGAGGTTCCGCACGTGGTGAGAAGGTAAACAAAGTTCGTTTAAGGAAGGAAATGATACTAAAAAATAATGCTTGTATTAAATAATTCCATAATAGGAAGGAAGAAAGGCGATAGTTCTTACCGGAGATGTCCAAGAATGACGAGATATTTAAAGGATGAAAACTATGCCATGCAGCCAAGCTGGGGGCATGCCATGTGGCCGTGCTGGGGGCAGCTAAACTGGATAGAGGCTGAGCACCGGGAACCTTCAACCGGTGTAGGGTCAGAAAGAAGCCCCCAAGCAAAGGGGCCGATAAAGGGAGATGGGTGCTAGTAGGTCTGTTGTACACAGAACAGAACACTCCCCGCCTGACGTCTTGGACGTCAAGGAATGTGCTAGTTCTCGTCACAGAGAAGGACAATCCTGGCAACGGGTCTGAGGAGGTGTTTAGTTCACTCAGTTCGGTTGCCAGGAGGGCGGCACAGAGCTCCAGTCTGGGAACTGAATGTTCGGGTCGGGCAAGTTTCGCTTTCCCCGTGACGAAGCCAATTTGGTTGTTTCCTTTATCGTCGGTGACCTTGAGATAGGCCACTGCAGCGATGGCTTTGGTCGATGCATCGGAAAAGATGTGCAGCTCTTTATGTACTGCTTTTGAGAGTGGTATGTTTGTGAAGGCCCTAGGGATTCGGACCTCGTTTAGCGCTTCCAAGGAGTCTCTCCATGAAGACCAGATTTTGTGCATTTCTTGAGGAAGAGGTGAGTCCCACTCGCTGTTTTCATGGATTAGCTCTCTCAAGATTAACTTTCCTTGAATGGTGACGGGGGCAGCAAATCCCAAGGGGTCATACAGACTGTTGAGTGTCGATAAAACGCCCCTACGTGTAAAGAGTCTTTGTATCGCAGGTTTCTTATCGAGGCTACGTCTCGGTGAAGAAAGTCGACTCTCTGCCAGTTTCCTGTTATATGGGAGACGACGTCGGGGAGATCTAAAGGGTAGAGGAGCAACCCAGCTGTGGTCTTTGTCTTTCTCGGCTCCCAGCTCCATGATGTTCAGGAAGGCAATATCTTCGATAGAAGGCGCCGCCCTTTCGTCGTCCTTGGTCCGTTGAAATAGGTGGTCTTCCATCTCGGTAGAGTATGGCCTTTTGCTGATGCTGAATCTCTCTTTAATTTCGAATCTGTTCGGGCACGGTTCGAAAAGGGTAGGGCGTCCCCCATCAGATATATGTGTATGCAATGTGTTTATTATGGTGGGTGGGTGAAATTTCCCTAAACAGACATTGCCAACTATGACCCATCCGAGGTCCAGTTTCTGTGCATATGGGGCATCATGGGGGGCCGTTTATATGTTGGCGCACTTTGTGTACCCTTAGAATGTCACGCCCCAGAAGGAGCATTATAGGAGTTTTAGGCTCCACGGTGGGGATGAGGTGAGCTATTTTTCTCAGATGTGGGTGGTGGAGGGCTGCCTCAGGAGTTGGGATGCCGGACCTGTCGTTGGGTATTTTGTCGCATTCGACGAGACTTGGAAGTGGAAGGCTGTTTTTCCCGTCTAAGGATTCCACCTGGAAGCCTGACGCTCTTCTTCCCATGGTTTGTATAACTCCGGCACAAGTTTTAAGGAATAAGGGAAACTGGGCCCATCATTTTAAAGGTATCAAAAAGTCTGAGCGTACCAAAGACCGGTTGCTTTGTTCATCGATGATGGCGTACATCCTTACTGTTTTGTCTGGTTGGTCGGCAGGGTAAACATTGACGAGGCATATCTTGGAGCACGACTTTTCTGAGAGGTCACCACCGCAAACTTGTGTGCACTGCGAAACCACTCCAGTAGCTATAGGGGGGTTATCCTCCCCGCCGTTCTCTGCAGCGGATCTTATGCTGATGGGCCAAGGTGGTGGTCCTGGATGGAGAGCAGTGTTGTGTTCTTCACTGTTACACTCATTGCATGTAATATTCATTCTGCAGAATTTCGCTATGTGTGCTGTGGAGGAGCAACATTTGAAACAGATGCCATTGTTTCTTATAAAAGTCTCACGCTCTTTCAAGGGTTTCTCTCGAAAGGCGCGGCATTTCAACAGTGAGTGGAATTTTTGTGTAATGGGCAATATTGGGTGGGGTCGTTGTCATCTTTGTTTTGCCGACGCGTGGTGTTGAAAACTGTGGGGACACTTCGGTCTTATTCACCGATACCACCCTTTGTTTGCTCTCTTGTGAGGGGAACCTACCCACCAGTGAATTGACCTTGAAACTTGGATCATTTTTATCCTAGCTTGTTGTGTAATAAAGTTTACAAATACCTTAAAAGGAGGGAACGTAACTTGGTGCCGTTCCTTATATTCGAACCAACAGACAGCCATCTGTCCTGAAGTGAGGATGGTAGTTTGGTTATAAAGGGCGGAGCCCTCGAGCAGTGTCCAGGTAGGCGAGGCCAGGAAGGTTTCCATCTTCCTTAGCTGACAAGAGTTCGGTAGCTAAATCGCTGAGTTCCCCTAAGTCTAGGGAAGATCGTTGTTTGACAGTCTGGGGAAGTCATCTACTCGTTTGAAGAGAGCATCCTCTATCATTTCAGGAGCCCCGTAACACTCCTCGAGTCGGGCCCATATTCTCATGAGCCCTCTTTCTGGGTGGTTCAGGTGGGCTGACCTTAGCCTCCTCGCATGTTCCCCTGACTCTTTACCAAGCCATTTTACGAGAAGGTCCATTTCCTCGCTGTATGTGAGACCGAGGTGTCTGATGGCACTCTGGAAAGACCGCTTCCATGCTCTGTAGTCTTCAGGTCTATCGTTAAAAGGTGGCAGTCCAGTAGTGGTGAGTTCCGCCGGGTGAAGTACCTCACAAGGTCTGAGGTATATTGAGACTGGGAGGCGTCCCTGGTGTTGGTGGGGGTACCGGTCGTTAGAGGTTCGGTGTCTTCGACACGTGAGTTAGGGGAGTGATAACTGATAATAGGTGGGGTTGTCTGGGTAGGTCTGTCTGGGCTCCCTGGCCTATGAGGGAGAAGTCTCCGCGTTCAAACCGACCATACTGGTATCCCTGAACGATTTGTTCATTAAGAGGTGGTTGGGGTCCAGTCATCTCTTGTTTCGGTTGGCTTGCTTGGTCGGCTAAGTATTCTCGGACCCGTGTGCTAGGGTCAGCGGGAGTGCAGTCGAGTTTTGAGTGGTTGCAGCTGGACCGTTCTTTTAGCTCGTCGGCAGCTTCCCTCAGAACTTCTGCTTCAGCTACGGCAGCAGCCGTCTCCTTTTCAAGCTGTAGTTTCTCCAACTCCATCCTTATTTTTAGCTCCTTGTCGATGAAAGCTAAATGTGTTTTGGCTGCTTCAGCCCTAGCTTGGGCGATAGCAGCAGCAGCCGCCGTAGACGATCTGCTGGAAGACCGAGAGTAGCGGGAGGCATGAGTCCTTGACCGATTTGACACGTTGTCTGCCATTGTTGAGAAAAAAGGATGATTTGTGGTAGAAGAGAGGCCGAAAGAATAGCTTCGTTATATTGAGGATAGTTTTTTTAAGCGAACTGTGTGACACTACTGTTGTTGGTGTTGCGTCCGTAGTTCCGACGGTTGGTGTAGACCACGAAATATCCGACCATTAGGGGAGACTCCGTTTTACTATACTGTCTCCGGGATGCGTGTATTTCGTTGAAATGTACACAACCCTTAGAGACAGTTAGCATAAACTCTCATCGACAATCAAGACTCTGAGACATAGTATGTTTTAGACACAGGTTTATTGACAGTCGACAAAGGTAAAACGGAGATGTCCAAGAATGAAGAGATATTTAAAGGATGAAAACTATGCCATGCGGCCAAGCTGGGGGCATGCCATGTGGCCGTGCTGGGGGCAGCTAAACTAGATAGAGGCTGAGCACCGGGAACCTTCAACCGGTGTAGGGTCAGAAAGAAGCCCCCAAGCAAAGGGGCCGATAAAGGGAGATGGGTGCTAGTAGGTCTGTTGTACACAGAACAGAACAAGAGCAATCATGTTCTTCCTTCCTTTGGATGGTTTTGTAAACAATTCTGATTCAATTTCTCTTATTTCTCTTGACTGTAAACCTCTGTTCATGGATGTTTTGCTGCTCTGTCTCCTTTTGTCAAAAACAATGACATGTAAAATTGCATTCAGATCTCCGTACTCTATTTGTTCTAAAATGCAATTTAATGCAGAAATTGAATTTATTAATGTTAAAACTGTCTCCTTAAATCGTGGATGGAGGGACATTAAAAGTCGTAAATCTGAGGGATACAGTGAAATCAGGTATTGCTGAGCATGTATGGAATAAAAAAAGAGTGATCATCAATCCCTGTAGAATAAAGTAAGAATTCTAGACGGGGACAAATACTAGAGACACAGACTTCTTAAGGAATCAGCACATATATTCACTATATATTGTTTATATATTGTTTATATATGTTGGTTACCTATTTTTTCATGACCTGACTGCAGATGTTCTTTTCTTTAATCCTTTCATTTTGTTTGATATTTTTTTCAATTACTGAAGATTTTTGCTGCAATGCAACCATTTGGATTATTTCTATATTTTATCATTCTTTTTGTATGAAATGATAATTTCATTAAACATTTCCTGTGTCATTAACATCCGGTTGGATATCAGTAACCTAACAATCTTCTTTTTATCCCTTATCTAATTGCAAAGTATGCTCGTTGTTTTCCTGTTAAAAATGCTCCCAGCATCAAAATGCTTCTTCTGAGTATTTTGAACAGCTCAGCTTCATATTCCAAGCTCTTTGCTGATTTCATTACAACTCATCCTTTCTGATATTTCAACAATCTTCATCCTCTTCTCTAAAATTAACTTCCCAATTATTAAATATAAATCAACTGCGCTGATAATTCAGACTGAAGATGCCTGACTCTATTCAGTCTGTGATTGGTTCATGTAACAAAAAAAAAATAAGCATGTGTGTCTTGATCTGTGATAACAGTATGGTGATAACTTTTGCATGTCCTATTTTCAATATCACTACATTCAGCTGTGCATATCTTCTCATACTGTGAGTGCAACAACTTGTATTATAGTCTGGAATGACTGCACATACAACTCCTGAAAATACATTGTTGCATAGTTGGAGCTTCTCATTAAAAATAAGAAACAACAACTTTTAGCTTGGTATCGTATTTCTTTTATTCATGACTGTATTAAATGGTTAGATGAAAATAGGTTTTAGTTTGTAGAAATAAGAAATTCCAAAGATTCAATCAACAGACATGCACATTGTGAAAAGAATATGGTTCATCACACTGAAATTTGATGTTTGTATTGGCAATAGATATGCAGCATAAAATCATCAAAGAAAGAGAAGTTCCAGTTCCAGGACAAATAACACAGCACATAGAATCTCTTTGTTGACCAAAGATAACTGATTAAAAATAAAAAGAAAGCAAAACAAATGGTTTAATAATAATAGAAATTAAAAAGTCACAGTAAATATTGAATATTATATTTTCTTTTCAGTCTAAGAAAATATTAATTGTCAGTGTTTCTCATTTTATCATCTGATAAGTTAATTAAAAAAAATGTTTCAGAAAAATATTGATTAACTTTAAACTGGAAATATAATTCTGCTTGTCTCTCCCTCCATCCCTTCTTTATTTCATTTCTTATTTAGTTTTCACGACCATTACGCCCTGCCAATACCTCATACATAATGAGCTATTCTGTTCTGACTGCATGAAAATACAGAACTGATATATCAGCAATCCTACATGATAAAATGAAAGAAGGAAAGCACGAAAGAAAGGAGATCAAACAGTTTGAAGTCTGTTTCATTAAAATTGAAAAGTTGTCATTTTTACGTCTTTTCATTTGTACATCCTTACTTATAATAAATATATTAATAAAAATGTCTGCAAGGGAGATTTTTGACCAGTAACATTTTTAATGCTAGAATTCCCCTAATTGAAGGCTCAAGATAAAGTGTTACTGTTAAAATTGTAACGATGAATGGGATGTGTGATATGGATGAAAGACAAGGTTAAGATTATGGACATAAAGTGGAGAAATAGTTATTTGTAATTAATATAGAAAACATGAGCCAGATAAACTTTGAATATCTACATAAAAAAGATGCAAATATATGAGGCTCCTCGATCAGAAAGAGGCTGCCTCTACTGTTGGTGGCAAATATTTTCACCCAAATTAGGTTATGGTTAATGAAGTGTTGAATGTTATTGTTGGGGCGCACCCATCTTCTAACTAGTAATGGACTGGTCCCTCTTATATAAGTCAGCTCTGGGGAGAGCGTCAGCGTTAGCAGTCCAGATAAGCTTACCCGGTACATACCGTTGGACTATAGACTTTGGATATTGTTTTGTACTAACCAACCTTCGTTCTACTAATCACTCTATTGTTAATTGCTTTTATGAATATACCAGTATTTTCCTCTACAACTGTGTTTGTCTTGATTCATACACCGACACTCGGGAAACTCACAACATCTCAACAGTTATTGACAGTATTTAACACATATTTACAACTCCAAATGGTCACCCTTTGCTTTCACCATAGGCCTTAATCTCTTCTTACCTGAAGTACATGACTTCTTCACCGCCACTTTGATCAGATCGTACCACAACATCGTAAGAGCTTCTTTCAGGTCTGACACATTTAAGTAGAAGATAAATCAAGCATTGTTCTCCCATATGAGCCATATTGCAATGTCCATAGGATTAATGTCAGGGCTTGATGGAGGCCAAATGAACTTGTCAAAAAATTGAACTCACACTCTTTATCCTTGAGGACACATGGCACAGTGGATAAAGGCATTAGTTAGATCCAGTGACAGGACCCAAAGAGTGTGAGTTCAATACCCAGCTAAGGCAATGGACAACTTGAAGAGGGAAATTAACAGGAGATAACTGATAACTGACATCCATTAAACATGGCACATGGAACTAGAACAGTCTACCCCAGTGAGTAAAATAAAGGGTTAAGTTCGACATTCCAACCACCTGAAGAACACTGGAGTGTACAATGGCCAAAACGTTGTATTAAATATGGCAACAAAGATGAGAACAATAGTCTGAATAATGTAAATAGAGTACATAATACCTCATCTCAGAAATATAGACAGATTCAATTTGATTATTTTTTATTTGAGTCATCATATTTAGTTAAATTATAAACAATACAATAAAAGAGTTTTAGGAAGCCTTATGCAAAATTTGGAACTATTTTTATGAATAGGTATGTTCCTGGTTCATGTTTAAGGTAATAGGTAAATGCCACACCCAGTCCCTAGATCTATCATTTATGCTGTCTGAAAGGGTAAAAGCAGGCGTAATCATGAGGTGTGGCTTGAGTTGCTCTACATTAGTTCTAACTAATGTTTTAACGCAAAAAAAAGGCTTGATCCCAGGGTCATCATCTGATGAAGGCTTTGTTGGAGGTATTACTGCTGCTAAAATATTTATTGGAAATTATTTACATAATGCAAAATATATTTCAATAGAGTAAAATATAAAACCAAACAAAAACATAATTTTTTAATGTGATGTTAACATTGTAAAGATTAATAATAATACAAGACTAAATCTTTCATACATAAACTTGTTTATTCATTTCATCAGTTAAACTAAGCATGCAGGTGTGTGGTTTTTGGGACTTTATCTGAACATGGATCTTCTATTGTGGATTTGAGAGACTCTGGCATTTTCCTATTGGGTGAGGTTCTTATATAACTTCCTGTAATCAGAATGTCCCATTGTTCTCATTCAAATCTCATCTGGCATTGACCAGCTATTTATATATTTGGGACAGCCAATGACATTTTTGACACGATTCTGCATCTGGTGTATATGATGACAGTTTCCAGGGCAACCCTTTAATGCATTTAAATTTTAAAACTCGTATTAAAATATTAAAATATTGGTTCTGCTATCACAGTGCCAAGATTTAACTAGCAAGCATCAGAATTGAATCAATTTTGGCATTTTTATATTAATTGTCATAAGATATTGTGAAATGATTGATTACATGTCAATTAAAGTAAACATTGACTTTATAGAAATGTTCAATTCTATCTTATAAATTAATTTTTTTTTTGAGAAAAATTTTAGAGAGATTTTTAGCTAAAATAAGAAAATGAAATTAAGAAAAACAATTTCAATATTAATATCTTAATTATTTAAAAAAAAATAACCTGATAACTTTCCAGTAAAAACTTTTGGATAAACTTTGTATATATAATTTTCTATCAATTAAAGATTCCCCTGCAGCTCCTTTTGATATAACATGTATAAAATACATTCTGTACACACTATGTGACAATAAAATTGATAGAAACTTTTAATTTTTTCCCCAATGATATTCACAAAGAAGGAATTAAATATCTATAGTAAAGAGATCAAATAATTTGTGGTTAAATAATCCTATCACATGAATTACATATGTAAATGTTTTGATTGTCCCAAG